GACCTGCTAAAATCTCTCTCTCTCTCTCTCTCTCTCTCTCTCTCTCTCTCTCTCTCTCTCTCTCTGTGTGTGTGGAGCAAGTTTTCATCCCTTTGTATGTTTGGCAAGGAAACCTAAAGGCCTTTCAAAATGGGTGAGAGACACTTACATTTACTCGTCTCTTCGCTCCCTCTGGCCTCAACCGTCACCGAATTGTAACTGAAGTCCTAAATAGCGTTGGTGGTAATCGTCCTGCCCCGAACTCTGCAGATGAAAGACAACGACTAACATACCAAGGAGAATCCGAAGAACCAAGGGCAAGGAAATTCTCAAAACGCTAAGGGCCTACTCACACTATCACTTTCCTAGATGTATCACACTATCACTTTCCTGAATGTATTTTACAGATTTCACGTTCGGCACTGGATGTATCCAACTGCAATTACGTCCAGAAGTAAGAGGAAAAAGTCCTAGTGTGAGTACGCCCTCAAAAGGATTGTCGATGTATCCGACGACTGCAATTACGTCCAGAAGGGAAAAAAGTCCTAGTGTGAGTACGCCCTCAAAAGGATTGTCATGCGAACACTGCGTCCTCACCTCTGCCTTCCCAAACTCATCGTTTTTTTTTCCGTTTGAATTGCAGTATTCTACTCATCTGTTTCCAGTGGAGTTCAAACTCGTCGAATTTTCCACTTGTGCACCCGCCCCTCCCACCTCTCCTCTCCTCCCCTCTCCCTCTTTGACAACTCACGGCCACCACGTGGCGTCGTCCTGAGCCCACAACGGCTACCAGAAGATGACTGGTAACCCAAGCTGTGGGCACCAGAACGCAAACCTGAGTCATCGGACTTTACCCCGCTTAAAAGTCAACACCCTCCCAAACCGACACCGTGAGACACCAAAGGGAAAAGGATGAGAGAGTCGCCTATCCCTCCATGTACACAGAGTGTGAGCATGAACAATAGACGTCCTCAACTTGAACTAGTTCCTTGGGTTGTTTCAGGATTCAAACTAAGGCTCCGTTCATGAACAGTTACATCTCTGTACCATTTTTTGGGTACAACCACGAGTACACGGCTCCAGCCTTGCTGAAACAAAATATCGTCGCCCATCCGAAAAAGTCGGGTGGGCAGTCGTTGATAAATTCAATTTGCGGCCTTTGTCACGTTCCGGCCTCTGAAAGCAGCCCGCCGCCAATGTATGGCGTGTACTGGTGGGTAAAACCGCTCGTACACGGCCCCAGCCTTGCAGTCCGAAACTTGTCACCACAAGAAAACGAGGCCAAAACGTCGAAGTGTTGGGCCCGCCGTTGATAAATTTGACCGGCGGTCGTGTTTGCATTTCGCACGTCCAGAATTTGAGGTGTCAGGGCCGCCGCCAAGGTGCCCATTTCTTTTTTCTGAGACTAGGGGAGTGGGTGGGGTGGGGGTTGGGGAGGGGAGGGAGGAATAATAACTTTCTTCTTTTTTATAAAACTAAGCTATATTCTTCTCTCAATTTCACCTTTCACTACCTACCTTCCGGAAGACCAACCATTTGCTTCAATTCCACTTCATGCAGGTCGTTAGTTGTAGCTTTTTGGACTATTTTGAAGATAAAGCGGCCTCTTATAATGTCATGTCGGTCGCTTTCCCCGGCGCGAAGCGCCCTTGTTGAAGAAAAGGTGCTAAGTGAGTGAACCATTCTTTCTTTTGTTAAAAGTCCATCAAGAGCGCTTCGCGCCTTTCCAGGAGTCATATTACCAGGCTTACTCTTGATAGTCTCGTGCGCGAACGCACCCCCCCCCCGGCCGAGGCCGTACACATGCCCACATTCAGTCTAAGACTCGGTCCACTACACAACACTTTACGTGAATTTGGATCCTTTCAGGACTCTATGCATTCAAAAGGTTCACGTGCTCCCAATGCACCTGGCCCAGAAAGCATCCCAATGCATGTAGAGTGCTGTGTAGTGGAGCCTACCCCCTCCCACCCTCCCAAGGGCCGAGGGCGTACATGTGCCCACATTCAGTCTAAAAGAGCCTCTCGCTTCACTACACAACACTATATGCATTTGAATACATTCAGCACTCTATGCATTCAGCATGTTCACGTGGTCCCACTGCACCTGGCCGAGAAAGTGTCCCAATGCGCGTAGAGTGCAGTGTGGTGGAGCAAGGCCCTAAGGCCTTGGATCACCACCAAGACTAACGACCAGGAGCGAAGAGTCCGTCTAAGAGGGTGGGGGACCTTGCTCCAGTACGGCGTTGTACATTTCCCAAAGACCGGGGCGAGGTTCCACTTAAATCCTCCGCTTATGGGCACCTGCAGGTTGCGAAATCAAGGCCTGTGTTTCTGTTAAACCCAAAGACCCCAAGACTTGCAACTTCTCAAGTACAAAACATTCAATACCCAAAAACGTATAAATCGAGAAATGGTGCAAAAAGAGAAAAAGAAATCAACGCCCAGAAATAAAGAATCCGGGCAAGAGGGACATCAGGCATGATACCTCTCAGGCTGTCAGCCTGCCCCTGTACCTGAACTGGCGGCACCCTCCCCCACCCACGCCCAAAAGCGATAAAAAGAAAAACAGAGCCATGCTCGAACATCAAACCGAACACTTCGCAAATCTAGTATGCATGCACATTAGACCACCTTCCCTCCTAGTGGAAGGCAAAGCAGGTTAAGCACATATCACATCTTTCCCTCCTGGGAGGCAAAGCAGTTTACGAACGTATCTCCATTTCCCTGTACAGGCGAAACCATACTTGCAAGCGGACGCCGTCCGGGTGGTTCCGCACGTGCGGCAGACCGCCAGACCCGACCCGCGCGGTGCACGAATGTGCGCCCGCGTCCCCACCCCCCCAAAAAAAATAAAAAATGGCCCTGTCCGGTCCGGTCCGGGTCCGTCTGGTCCGGGGAGAGGGGTGCCGCACGTGGCAAAGCGGACCGGACCGGACGCTCGTCCGGTCCGTCTGCTTGCAAGTATGGGCGAAACTGTTCTCCATGTCAGGAGACTCAACACCTGCTTTCTCTTCGCCCCTCTCCCCCCCCCCTCCCTCCTCCCCCCTCAAACCCCAAGACCGGACTTCAGTTGTTAATTATCGGGTCCTATTCACTTTCCAAAACAGGAAACAAACTGAGGCTGCAACGTAGCAACGACCTCCCAAATGGACGGCCGAAATGACGATCAGATTAATCCACCCGGGGAGCACAGGTAAACGATCTTGTTCCGCAGAGGGAGCGACGAGAGAGATGGCAGGGGAAAAAACGAGGGACGTGTACACTGCTGAGGGCACACTCACACTGGCACTATCTTAAATGCCAGACCTGGATGACTCTGACCGCAATTACGTCCAGAAAGTAAAAATGTCTTAGTGCAAGTATGCCCCGACTGGTGCATCGTTGAAATTGCCATTCCCCCTGCTGCTACTGATGCTTCGCCAGACAAGACTACATCCCGACAGTTTCTACGGATCACCGACAACGGCCACGAAACAATCCACTCCTCAAATGAATGGGCATGCGCTATCTCGAAACATCGCTTCGCTTCGTGCACAGCGGATTGAGCCAGATAGCAGGCAGGAGAAACAGCGCTCCTGCTGCCTGCTACCTGCTACCTGCTAATCAAGGAGAATATGAGCGCATAAAAGATGTAAGAATCTCGTGGGGATGCGCTACGGCGAAACCTTCGTCCATCGCGTCGTGTGTACTGCGACTACGGCCACATAGCAGGCAGGAAAAACAGCGCTCCCGGTGCCTGCTACCTGCTAATCAAAGAGAATATGGCCCCACCTAAAAGATCAACCAGGGTTTAAGAATCTCGTGGGCATGCGCATGCCACAAAACCTTTGGCCATCGCCTGGCAGATATCAGGCAGCCAGATATCAGGCAGCCAGATATCAGGCAGCAGGAAAAACAGCGCTCCTTGTGCCTGCTGCCAGCTAATCCAGGAAAACATAGCAGCATAAAAGATCACCCAAGATGTGATTAACGATCTCACACTCCATCGTTGATTGATCCAATCCTACTGCAACGGTAGGCGGGAACACGCTCCTCCTCTCACGATCGGCCTCGCGCCACTACACAACACTCGAACATGCATCTGGACGCTATCCGGACCAGGTGCATTCGGACGACTCCAACACTTCGGCTGCATCCGGTCAAGAAGGCGGCCAAATACATACACAGTGTTGTGAAGTGCAGCGATGCCCTACTTCGGAGGATATTCCCTATTCCACTAACTTTTCCTCCTTCCCCGCCGTTGCGTGCAAAGGGGGGGACAACAAGGTCGAACGACCTCGGCTCCCTAACGTCCATATCAAAACATCCGCTTGATAGGCATGCATGATATGCAAACTGAATGAACTTAGATTGATTGCTGACCGGTCGACAGTTGTATTGATCGTTTGATTATTTGATTGGTTGATTGATTATTTGATTGATTATTTGATTGATTGATTGATTGATTAATCGATAAAGAGATCGATCGATTGTCTATCTTCTGGTCGTGACACGAGGCTGAACGTCAGGCGAAGAAGATTAAGGAATGTAAACACATACATCTTTCGGCGAAATGTCCATATCCATCAAGATGAACCTATCTATCGCCAGCCATTGCTCGAGAAGCCGCCAAGACATAATTAGCATACTAATTAGATGACACCGATGATCGAGGGGATGCTTGGCCTCCTACTGCATAGCCCTGTTTCGAGGGAACAAACACGGGTCAATTATGTAGTGACTGTAGAAGCACCACCTCCTCAGTGGAGAAGATAAAACACAGGGATGATTGATGAGAGGGAGACCGGGGGGATGAAGATGGCAGAGAGGAGAGGACTAAGGACATGGACGTAGAAATAGGATGGGAATAGAGGATGGAGAGGGGGCTGTCTCTTATACACATCTAGATGTGTATAAGAGACAGGGCCAATCCTGTTCGTGGTCCACTTTTGATAAGTAACCGGGCAGGCGCCCCCGAATACAAAGGGGCTGTGCTTGTGTTAAAAAAGAAAAAGAAAAAGAAGAAACTGTATGCATTGTTCCTTGGTATTCAACGAATGAATCCCAAACACAAATCAAAATCACTTACATCTCCGAAGACGCAGGATGCCCTCCTCGTTGCCTACCCCTTCACGCTGCTCTTCTTTTACCTTTTGTCAAGGACACAAACACAAACCACGTGTTCGGAAGAAAAAAAAAAAAAAAAAAAGAGATTTAAACAAAAAAAAAAACATATACACAACACGCAGGCTCACACCTCGCCCCCCTCATCCCTTACTCCTCCTCGCCATCCCCTCCCCACCGACTTTTCAACAACCACCACCTCTCTCTCTCTCTCTCTCTCCACACACACATTCAAACACACATACACACACACATCATCTGGCACACGGCCCCCGCCTAAGACGCCAGCCCGCCCCCCTTCCTGGGACATGTTCTGAAGCATCATCATTCATCTCCCATCACTGATACAATACACAGGACATCGCATCCTACCCTTAACCCCTCCACCTGAAATGAACAATTTCCATACCCCCCAGTTTGAAACCCCCACGCTGATCAGTCGATTCACCCCACAATCACATACACCAACCCCCCCCCCCCCCCCCCCTCCCTCCCCTCCCCCTCCTCTTTCTCCTCTCGGCATCCCTAATGATCTTCTCCCTCCGTCTGTCCGTTCATTCCCGCCTGCAGTGATCTAACGTTCCATAGGGAGCGAGCAACCACTCTCCGCGAGAGATCCCGTCGGCATTCACCCACCCACTCACCCACAGTCCATAGTATTCTTGCGGAAGGAAGCAAAAAAGTCTCCTATCCGCTGCTGCCTGGCCCGCCTCCACCCTGTTCCAACCCCTTTTTTCTGCACCTCCGGAAATTTTCTCTATCGCCCACCACAGGATAGCTCTACTGATCCCTCTTTCCTCGTCTGAAGATATTCCTAATAGCTGCGCTCTTCTTCTTCCAGGGCTTTTCCCCGACCCCGCCCATCTTGTTAACCGTACTGCTTACCACCCTTTCACTTCCGTCGGAGGCATTGTCCACCGCTCTTGAGGCGTTGGAGGCCAAGCCGGTGCCATCCCTGAGAGGGGATGCTGATGACAACGACGGGGAGGGAGAGGATTGAGAGGTGGAGGTTGCAAAGGCGGAGGATGAAGGGGAGAGATTGGGGACGACGATGGGCATCACGACGGGGGAATTACTGCACCCCGCGCCTACCCAATCACCGCCAAGATCTTGGCCATTGCCCATCATCCTCACGGTCCCGCCACCTACACAAGCCTTCTCTCCTGCGGCCTTCTCTCCTTCTGCGCCCCCCTTCGCAGTCATCCCGTTGCCCTCTCCGCTCAACAAGGATCCGAGCCCGGCCACTGACGAGGAGGACGACGAGCCGTAAGCAGAGGAGGAAGAAGACGGTGAGCCTGAGGGAGAAATCGACCCGTACATGATATTCCGCCCACGTACGTCCCTCAGGATCCTGTTCTTACCGCCATCCGTCTTAGTCGTTTGCGGGCGCACCCAACGCGGGCTCATGCGCTCGTTTCCCGCCAACCCCGCTGGTCCTTCCACGCCCTCCAACTCCGCCTCCCAGCTGTCCACAAACCCCCTCTCCTCGATCATGCCAGTGACCTTCTTCTTCCTCTCATCACTCGATCCCTCGCCTGCTGCTCTGTCTTCAGCATCGTCATTGCCGGGCACATAGCCGTGCACCTTGGCCAAGCTCTCGTTGAATGCTTCCCGCTCAGATGCCAGCTCCTCTAAACGATTGAGGTTCTCATCCACGTCGCCCTCTGGTTCTTCATCGTCCTCGTCAAGATCTTCCTCACACCTCAATCTCACCGCTTCGTTCTCGAAGTGATCCTGTTCCTCCTCTTCCTCCTCCTCCTCTTCCTCCACTAGCTCTTCATCATCAAACCCGCGGGCCATCGCCGCGTACACTTCATCCTCTTCCTCTCCCTCTTCCTCCTCTTCATCAACCCCACGGCACCTCACCGCGTCGGCTTTCTCCTCTCCTTCTTCTTCCTCCTCCTCCTCCCTCTTGCCCATAGCTAAAAGCTCCTCCTCTTCTTCAGCCGCTAGCTCGGCAAGCACCGCTTCAATTGGCATCACCTCCTCATGCTCCCTCCCTGCCTCCATTTCCTCACCCTCCTCCTCCCACTCCTCCCACTCCTGTTCGCCTTCTCTATCTGAGAATAGGTCACTGGGTTCCCCGGGGAGGGGGAGAGCGTGAAGGGGAAGACTTTCGTACTCCGACAGTGCCTCAATTCCCTCCTCCTCCTCCTCCTCCTCTTCTTCCTCCTCTTCTTTTTCTTCTTCCTCCATTATCTCCTCCGGAGGATAGGCATCGATCAATGCCTCGATCTCCTCCCCGTACATTTCATCCTTCTCTAGGAGAATTTCCATCCCCACCATCAACGCTTTCTTGTACGGGCTTATTACTTCCAGCACCGCTTCATAGTTCTTGTCGACGAGCGCGATTGTTCTGGCGTCGATATCGTCTTTCGTCATGGGGTTGGCCATGGGGTCACCCTGCCCTTGATCCGTGAACAGCCCTCCGTCGAAATCCAGCGGCACCCCACTGTAAGGTCTTTCGTATTGCACGGGGCCAAACGGAACATACTCTCCACGCATAACGATCTTACCCTCCAGGCAGAAATTCGAGACCATCTTCCTTGCCAGCCAGGCCGCCTTCTGCAAGTTCTCTGCGCTCTGGCTAGAAGAATCGCTGCCCCAGACGAGGTGTTCCGCGGCCCGACCGGCCAGCATCACTTGCATCCTCACCAGCAGATCAAAACGGCGGGAAAAGGAGTATTTTTCGTCGTCAAGGCGGGAAAATATGGTGCGAGAGAAGGTGGTGGGCTTGGCGACAATCGAAACGCGGCCCACGCGCTCGATCTGCGCCCCTCGGCGCGCAAGCACGGTCGCAGCGATGGCAGTGCCTATCTCCTGACACGCCAAGAACCTCCTGGTCTGATCGGTGAAATCTGGGAGGCGTTTGGCTCCATAGCCCGACACCATCACGTCCAGTGCTCTGTCGATATCTTCCCTGGACACCTCCTTGTTCCCCCTCCTCAAGGCGTTGATTGCCGCCTCGTTCATCAAATGAGCCAGCTCAGCGCCGCTGAAGCCTATGAGGTTCCCCGCGTACAACCACAGGTCCACTTCCGACGACAGCTTCATCCTCCCCGCATGAACGCGCAGTATGTCCAGCCGCCCTCTCGCGTCCGGCGGGGACATCCTTATCGTGCGATCGAAACGACCGGGGCGGCGGAGCGCGGGGTCAAGCAAGTCGGCCCGATTCGTCGCGCCGATGAATATCACACCATCGCCGCTGTCAAATCCGTCCAGCTCCACCAGCAGCTGGTTGAGAGTCTGCTCGCGCTCCTGCGTCCCGCTGTAGTATCCCGACGCCGACCCCGCCGCGCGGGTTGCGCCGAGAGCATCGATCTCGTCGATGAAAACGACGGCGGGTTTCGACATGCGCGCCCTTTTGAACAGATCACGCACGCGGGAGGAGCCAATACCCACAAGCACCTCCACGAACTCGGACCCCGCCATCTCGAAAAAGGGTACCCCCGCCTCTCCGGCGATGGCCTTCGCCAGCAACGTCTTGCCGCATCCGGGGGGACCCTCCAGCAACACACCGTGAGGGGGCTTCGCGCCCACGTTGCTGAACCTGTCCGGATTGCGCAGGTATTGAACCAGCTCCTTGAGTTCGGCGACGATGTGATCGATTCCCGCCACGTCCGAGAAGCCAATACCCGTCTTCCCGTCCTTGCGCGCCGAGTCCTTCGATTGCCCGAATTCCACCATCTTCCACACGTCGCTAGCCCACTTCTCCGGTGACCCCTTGATCTGCATTCCCTCCACAAGCAGGAACGACAGCGCGGCAAAGACGAAAGCGATGGCTCCCGCCAGGCGGAAATACTCCACCAACGACGTCGGCAGCACCTCCACCACGTTCCTCACGCGCGGCTGCGCAAGCACCAGATCCACGTACCCGCGCGTTTCCAAAACCCGCTTCTCCCCTTCGAAATGCGCGAAATCTTGCTTGAAATCGTCCAGCTGCTTCCGGTCGTACATCGTGACCCGCCACTTGCTCGGCGTCCCCGAGGGCGAAAAGCTGCCCAGGTTCTTCGCCGGCGATGCGCCGCCGCCAACAGAGGGGCGCAAATCGACCAGCAACTTGCGGCTTCCCGCGCTCCACCACTTCGACGGCTTGTCCACTAGAGTGATTCGCTGCACCTCGCCTCTTCTTAGACGCTCCTTCCACTCCGAGAACGGCATCTCTTTCACCCCCGAACCCTCCCATTCCCGGGCAACCGCCATATCTGCCTCCTCCACGTACGGATTGAAAACGTCTCGGGGCACGACCCACTCCCCGTCGGGTCTCTGCTCATATATATCTTTTTCGAAAACAGGCACAGTTGCCGCTCCTCGAGCGGCGCCGTCCTCTCCTCCCTCCACCACCCCCTTCTCCTGTTCTTGCTGACCAATGCTCCGTTGACTTAAAAATGACCTCCTCCTCTCCGCAATCCCCATACCTAGTGCTACTCCGCCGCCGCCGCCGCCTCCGCCGCCAACTACATCGACTGGCACAGAGCTCAGAAGCCTAGTCACCTCAGCCGGATCTTCCCACCCTTCCCCGGCGGAGTCCCTTTGCTGCCATCCCTCGCTACTACCCCCCCCTCCGGCATTTCCCAACACATTCCTTTCCCCCCTCCTAGACCCCCCTCTGTACATCGTCCGCTCGAGTCCCATTCGAACCCGAACCCACCCACCCACCAACTCAGTACAACGCGCCCCCTCGTCACCTTCCACCACCCCATTTCCAGCCCCACCACGACGACTACAACCCCCCCCACCACCACCTCTTCCTCCTTCTCCTCCTCCTCCTCCCTCCCCTCCCCTGCGTATTCTTCGCAATCTCCGTCCTCTGAAGAGCCCGCTTCCACCAAATCCAGTCAACTGCAAAGACGAATGATGACAATGATGGTGGAGGTGTACACGCACTTTCCCCCGATGGCGCGCAAGTTTCCCCACCCCACTGCCCAATATCCCCGCTGCCCCGATCAGGGTTCCCTGTCGAATCCCTCCGCTGCCGCCGCCGACTCGCGTCGGCGCCGCTGCTGAGGTGACGTACCCGCCAGAACTCAACGGTGACTGCGCCAACACTCCTTCCCCCCAGGTGGAACTGACCTCCATCGTATCTGGGACTGCCCTCTCCCGACTCCAACTCCTCCGGTGCAGCCATGACGTGGAACTACCCCATCTACTCCCGCCGGAGTTGCTGACCATGCCTGCGCAACTGCCACCCAACTCGTCTCCCGCCCGCGGAACACCATGATGGTGTTGATGCTGCTGCTGCTGTGGCGCCGGCGGCGGCGGCTTCCGCGAGTCTGCGCCCAAGCAATGGGAGCAAATCGCCGCCGCGCTGACGCCCGCACCCGCCATCGCCGTCGCCAGCTACTTCCCCTGTTCTCCACCCGCCCAGTCAACGCCGCCCGCCTCCCAGACGCAGTCGTCGCGCTCCTCTCCCTCAATAGCTGCAACCAACAACAACCGAAAAATCGTTATCGTAACCTCCACTACCCTTTTCCATACATACGGCTTCCCCCTCTCCCCTCCCACCTTCCTTCTTTCTTCCTTTTCCACTTCACCACTTCATCGCTCTCTTACTTACCTCTCTTCTGCTCCAGCATAGCGCAGCCCCCAAACACGTACACCTAAACACGACAATCAGCAACCAAGGAGCTCGCGCCCCCTCCAAAACCCACCATCTACGCCATCACCGTCGGCCCTTCGGTCGTTTCCCCTACCACCGTCTCCCCCTAACCCTCCTCCCTCTCCCCGACCACGCTTCGAAATACGCAAGGCCTCACAACCCACGTGGCTGCCTCACCCACTTATGACCCGTGAGTCCCGCGCCGGGCTTCCGCTGGGCTCTTCCGCCCTTCTTTTGTGGCCAACACTTCTCCTCCTTTCCCCCAATCACTTACTTCCCCAACCTGTCCCCACAACCCTCTATTATAACCCCCCGCACCCAGGGACGTCTCTCCCTCAGCCCTCCGCTCTCGCGGCGGCCGCGCACCTCCTCCTCCAACCTCTATAGGCTGCGTTGATTGCCCTCCTCCGCTCTCGCGGCGGCCACAGCTAACCTGTCATTAACCAAAGAACACACGCAACACACTACTCGTTCACTGTGGCCAGAGACGAAATACACAAGCAAACTACAGTACGTCTCAAGATATCCGTTCGTGCATGCTTACCTCTGACAGCCCGACAAGCGCACTACAGCATGTCTACAACTACAGTCTACGTGGCACCTTATCTTCCTCTCTAGCGATGACATCCATGGCTGCGACCACTGTGCTCTAATAAGTCCTACTCAAGCCATACCAATGAGGCGTGCACGGTGAGCTTCTTACGTGCATTTAAGACAATCAGGGATTTACACAATCTCAGTGCCGAGAGCAGATGTCTAACAACTCAGTCAATGCAACCGTGACCAGTCGTTCACGTCAATCACCCAATCACATAATCGTCCAATAATACACGTTTTTCTACAAACGAGGTGCGGAGTCATCGACCCTTTTTCCACAGCTTTCCCCATACCGTGTACGCCGCCGTAAAGGCGGCAAAACCAAAAAAAAGAGAGAGAGAGAGAGAGAGAGAGGCACAGAGAGAGAGAGAGAGAGGCACACAGGGAAGACTCGCGAGCAACCTGCGGTACCCGTGTAGCAGGAGAAATAGAGAAATACAGAAGACGAGAATTCAGTCACCAGTGGGCAGAGCGAACCCGGTCGTCTTTTGCTTGATGTAGATGCACTTCAAACGCCGCCTTTTTTTTCCCGCGTGAGGAGCACGCAAAGCCTGCGTGTGGCTGAAGAAGAAGAGCGCCACGTATGTGAAAGAACCCTCGCTACACATTCACGTGTTTTCGCCTGTACTCAACGTCAGACAGGACCAAATTTCTAAGCAAGCCCAGCTGGCTGAGTCACGTTTATATAATAATACCGTTTTCTCTCACTTCTCCATTCCCCGAGGTAATCGACGGCGTGCGTGATGACCTTGTCACCTCCCTATGAAAAGTGTGAAGTAGCGGGAAAACATCTCGGTTGCATGCACCATGCACCACCTTTGCTTCCTTGTCGTCCCTGACTGTCGTCAATTAACCAAACCAACGATTCGGCGCGCTGGCGCGCGCGCGCATCATGGCAACGCTGCGCGGGTGGTCAAAGAGAAACGATTGTTCATAGCATATATAGAGATGACAGGCCAGACCGGGGAGTCGCAGAAACACTGCCACGTGTCCGCCTGAGATTATGGACGATGCATGGACATGAAAACTGATTCCAAACGGGTGACAAGGAAATCACGCCCCGTCTGGATCAGGACTACCCGGCAATCCACTGAGCTATCAGACGAAGGGCCACCGGAGTAGGGGGGGGGAGGCGGGCGGAGAAAGTAGGGGTGAAGGACCCCTGCCTGCTCCACTACCCCGCTTCCTTCGCATGCCCGGCCAGATGACCCTCCCCTCCCCCCTACTCTCTCTCTCACTCTCCAGCGCTTCCCGGACGCACGCCGTCTTCTGAAAATACGGTGATGTGACATCTGCGCCGGTTGCTATCTGTCTGCAGCTGTACACTGGCAGACGTTACAAGGGCCGGACGTGAGGGAGGAGGTGGCTGGGACAAGTAAACACACAGAGAGAGAGAGAGAGAGAGGAACGGCCGTGAAAACTGCTGGGCACTACCGGTGGGATGCATCGAAGCCGAGCCTTCCCTTCTTCTGGTCAGGAAGGCTGCACAGACAGCCAGAAGCCGAGTCGATCCCATAGCCGGGCCACCCCTCCGCCAGCGGCCAGAGCCCACCCAGCAGCCCCCTCGCTACCGGTAGTCGCTATCAAGCGCTGTCGTCCAGTGGAAATTCGAAGATTTTTGGCGCGACTGAGAGTGCGAACCGAACAGCCTGCCCACCCGCGTAATGTGATCGTTCCACAGCCTGCCAGTGCCACTGGAACCCCCGCGGGAAGAACTCGTCTCGTCTAGAACTCCACTCCACGATGGCTACCCTATGCGAGTTTAGAAACGGGACCTATGGTTGCCACCCTGTCAGCAAACCCTCCTCAAACCGCCAATCAGACTCTATTTCTTCGACGAATGAATCGCACCCCCGCCCCTTACCCGATGCGAAACAGGATGCCTCAAACGAATCCTGGCTTTTGTCGTCACCTATGGTTCTGTTGTCGCAAAATCCGAGCGTGGTATACCGACGGACTACACCCATGGATTGTTGAAATACACCCATGGATTGTTCAAATAGACCTGAGTTCGAATTCCGGTCCGGAGTACCATGACTGAAACAAACTCTGAATTTACATGGGACCCGTCGGTTCCAAGATGATATCTCGAGGTTGCCATCTTCCTGGTTCCGGTTTGGGCCATAATGCCCTGGTTCCGGATTGGCCAATTCTTCGTTCCCGCTTGGTCAGCTCTTCGTTTTGCTGGCCAATGCCATGGTTCTGGCTTGGCCAATTCTTCGGTTTGCTCGTTTCCTTTTTGTCACCAAACCCCATCATGACTCGACATTCCCATAGGACAACAAATTTTGGGCTCCCCCTGCCGCCAAGTAGCCCAAAACTTGTCTTTGCGGAGTGTCAAAGTCACAATCGAGCTTGTAGTACTTGGCCCAGCTATCGGCTGTGGAAAAGAATAGAGTAGAAACATTTCAAGTCGGATGAACGTGGGCACTCCTGTAGTGGCCTGTGCATTTCCTAAAATTTTGGCTTGGTAACGGGCACGACTTCAGGAAATATCAATACTTGCGCCAGCAATCGGCAAAATAGAGTAGGACCGTTTTTAGTCGGATGAATTTCGACACTCATGTAGTGGCTTATACATTTCCTAAAATTGTGGTTTAAAAAAACTCAACCCGAAGGACGATGGTATAAGACAGTATCATAGGTCCCTGGGGCATGCCAGGGAGGAGAAGTAGTTGAGGCATGCCACCAGTACATAGCTTAAACCAAGTTGAGAATCTGATTGAGCCTCTCCTAAAATTATGGAGGCCAGTAGGAAAAAAAGTGTCATATGTTGCGGGGTGGCACTAAACTCATCCCTTAAAAAAAAAAAAAGTTGTTTGTCTTTGAGAGAGCTTTATCCCAAATCCTCTGACCTTTTCCGGATGTACTGGTGGTTAAACCACCAGTACATCACCCAGCTATGCAGGTCGACCCTCGCGCGACTGGTATGCCGACTCTGTCGAAGCTGGAGGTACAAGTAGCAAGACGCGCCCAGCCTGAACGGGCCAGGGGAAAAAAATAAAATAAAATCAATGCTAGGGACGTGAATGTAGGTTGATGCATTATCTCAAGTGCTACTGTGAGCATGCCCTTCGTGGGGGCGTATCAACCCCGTTGCCTCGCTCATAGAATCTATAAAATACAAGTAGGGAAAAAAAAAACAAAAAAAACGAAGCTCACCTTGTTGTCCTAATTGAAAACCGAGAAAAAAAAATAATAATTAAATAACGTTTTGGCTATGAAATTGGTTTGGATACATCACTGAATGTGTTACTGAGAGTATGCCCCCCCACTGTCTCGTTGGCAGGGAACTGAAAGAAAAATAAAATAAGAAAAATACAAAATAAAAAAATAAATAATCTTTACGTTTACAATAGTTAGGTCATTGTTCACAACACCAACGTGAGCACGGCCTGTTGGAGAGCTTAGTCCGACATCAATGAAATCGTAGTAGTAGGTTTTTTTTTATAATGTTTTTAGAGGGCGACCGGGTGTTCACTGCCCGACACCCGTTCGTCGAGGCGCGTTACTGGTCACGTCAGGGATTTGTAGTTGGGCGAGGTACAGATGGTTTAAACCTCAAGTACACCACCCATACAGACTTTGGAGTCGAAAATTAGTCAGTGCTAAAAGTTAGGAGACTTGCCCCACTGCGGACCTTGGGCATGGCATAATTTGTTTTTTGTCCAACACACAAGTGCTTCGAGGGACAAAAAAAGTTTTCGCCCGACCCCAGTACCGGCCTATGGTGAGTCCCTAACTTTTAGGAATGACTCATTTTCAATTTTGAAGTCTGTCTGGCGGTGACGAGGTTAGAGCAGTGGGGGAAGAAACATGGCAGCACGATTTTTATGTCACAAAACCGTTCGTGCTTTTGCTTCCGTATCCCTCCTGCCGAGGGTACTAACATCTGTTGTTGGTATGAACAAACATTTGATGTTCAAATAAAAAAAAATTGAACAGGTATTGGGTTTGAGGTCCTCTCCAACCACTCCTTAGACTTGACAATATGGGCTATGGAGTTGAGATGGGTTACACCATTGTATAAACCAAGAATAATCATTGGCTTAAATAATTGGTATAATCTAAAAATAAACGACTACAATAACTTATAGAATAGTTGAAAGCGAATAATATATAGCCACACTAACGAAAGTGAAATATGTTACCATGTAGTTGCCGTAAAAAATTATGTCATAGTTTCCACAAAAAAAATCATAATTAAAGTATTTGTGAGTATTAAAAAAAAAAAAAAAATCTTGACATCATAAAAATACGTGTTATTATGGTATTAGAATAGTAATTGCACGAATCGAATGTGATATTGAGGTTGGGTCTTCCTCCATATAATAAATTTCCTCATCATTCAAAAATCGAATTGGTAAACATAAAAAATTGGCATAGCGTATAAAGTATAAATAAACTTGTTCAGTACATTTAGAAAGCGGATACAAACTCTCTGCTATTCAGTAACTTATTGATTATTAACTTGCAATGAACGTTATAGGGTCACTTAAGTCTAAACAATGAAAGATCGATCCTTGTAACTTATACTCATAAAGTTGATAAAAAAAAATTAATGTTTTTGTAAGACTTATAAATCATATAATTTAATAAATTGATAAGGTTTATAAACTTTGTATTCATTTTTTTCTCTAATGAAGTAACAATTAATTTTCTCAAAATTTTGGTACTCTTTATTTTTCAAATGTATTAAGGGTTTGATTCAATGGTTTTTCTTTTATTATTTTTGAATATTTAAACTCAATTAATTGTACAATTTTGGTAACAAAATTATATGTAAATATTTAAATTACTTATATTCGTGCAATGCAACTTATATATAAGATGTGAGAAAAAATAAAGTTTATAGTTAAAAGGTAATTCCAATATGTTTTTCATTCATTTTTGCTTCGCATCCCATCATTTTTTAAACTCAACCGACACATGAATATTTCATAAGTAATGCTTACAGGGTTGTCGGCGTTCGGGACGGGCCAAACGCCCGAACGTACCGGACCCCTTCGGAAGGCGTTCGGACGGACCAAAAAAAAAAAAAAAAAAAATCAAAAACTTTTGAAAAAAAAAAATGTTATGGAGAAAAATAAACTAAACAACATTTGCATGGGCACTACATTCAAATTCTTTACCAAATTTAAATTACAAATCAGATACAGAAAATAAACACTATAATAAAAATTAAAAAAACAAAAAGAGAATTAAAATGAGTGAGTGTGTCAGCACCTTTTCAACACCGCCATCTTTGCCAATTTTTAATTATTTTTTGGCATTGACAAATGCCCTAAAAATTTACAGATATGTAGTTTATATAATCAATAACCCATTAAAAACTTTTCAAAAAATAATAATTTTTTTAGGTCCCGAAATAAAGTGAAAACAAAAAGTTAAAAGTGAAAAAAAATAAAATAGTGAGTGGGCGAGCATGTTTTGACACCCCCATCTTTGACCATTTTTAATGTTTTTTTGGCTTAGCAGAATGACTTCTAAATTTATAGACGTGTAGGTTACATCATAGACAACTCACAAAACAAAATTCAAAAAAATAAACTTATTTTTAGGCCTTGAAATGTTTTTTTGCGGGGGCCGAACCTGGAGGTGTTCGGCCCCCAAACGGGACCCCGAACGTCCGAACGTTCAAGGGCCAGCACGGGGGCCCCCGAACATTCGGTTTGGTAACCCTAAATGCTTAAATATTTTATTTAAGCTTACGACTTTAAGTTTTTCATAAATTTACTGCACTAAGCCACCACTCTACCCGGCAACGAAAATTCGGGGGACCAATAACACAGGTTCATAAGGGCTACATGTAAATAATGTGATTTTCATATTTTAAAAAGAAAGATCATGACGTGATGTACATATCCTCTATTTTTGAGGTTTTTTAGGCATTTTACTGATAATTAAAATTGCAAAAATTTTGGTATTTTTTTGTTGGTCCACATGTTGTAGAGTGTCAAAAATAAAAAATATGATGAATTGACACGACATTTAGTTCATAGTCCAATTTTTTTTCCTCCATTCTTATTATATTTTTCCTCGAAAGATCACATGA